CATGTACGCGCATGCGGACTGCCATTCTTGTACTTTGTGGTTCGTGATCAGATCAAGTTTCTACTGTTCGGAGTTTCGAATTTTGGTTGGTTGGTTGGTTGGTTTTTATTTCACTTGCACATTCAAACGGGATGACGACCCAATAAAATGACGGCGAAGGCTTAGCCTAGAAGTGGCTATGGAAGAACATAGTAAAAGCTATGGAAGCACATAGTAAGAGAATAGGATACTAATAACTGCGGGTAAACGGGGAGAGAGAGAGAATACGATGTATCTGTGATACTACGTGCGGGTTACTGAACTGCACGGGGAGGGAGAGCAGAGCGATCAGCAGCAACTCGAACTACTCCCTACAAGCGTATGGTACACATGCATGCTTAAACTCAGGTAGCCGGGTAATTGTGCGGACCTCACCAGGGAGAGCGTTCCACAGCAGAGCACCAGCAACAGAAAATCTCCGCTGACCGCGGCGGCTACGGTTTGCCTGGCTTAGTAGGCCATTTGACTGCTGATGGCGGGTAGGTGTGCCTTGTGCCGGGGTCAGAAGCTGGGCGAGCACAGGGCTTGTGCGGGCGTGGATGCACCGCCAGATGGTGATCAATATTTTCTGCCTGCAGAGCTCGCTGACACGGTACAGGGAGTGAGCAGTGAGCAGCGGCTGCATGGCTGTCCGGGGCGGGTTGCCATCGATACAGCGGATGGCTCTGTTTTGCGTGGTTTGCAGTCGTTTCAGTTGACCCTCTCGCATTGCGGCTGAAAAACAGCAGGAGCCATAAAGCAGGTCGGGCATTATGACCGCCTTCACATACACCTGAAGAGAGCGTCTTGATAGGCTTCGGCGTGCCCGCCACAAGGCGCTAATTTTCTTGGCAACCTTGGTGACCACATAGTTTACATGGGTGTCCCAATCTAGGCGATTGTCAAGGTGAACGCCGAGGTAGCGCGCAGAAGACGCTGAGGGGAGGAGACAGTCGCCGCTTTTGACTGTTACTTCCTGTACATGCTGCTGGGGAGAGATAGTCAGAACCTGGCTCTTGGTGGCGTTCAAGATGAGGCCTCGGGACTTCAGCCAACCGGCCAGAGCAGTTGCCGCTGTGGTGAGGGTTCTGGACGCTTCCGCCGCTGAGGCCTGGGAGTCGTACAGGGCTATGTCATCTGCAAATTTACACTGGAGGAAACCAAAGGGACATCGCGTGTGTATACATGTATACTGAAGAGGACAGGGCCGAGAACAGAGCCTTGGGGCACTCCGCAGGTGCAAGCCAGAGCAGGGCTGGTTGAAGGCGAGATGAGGATCTGCTGCTTGCGGCCGGACAAGTAGTCGACGAACCAACTAAGGGCTTTTCCAGAAATTCCAACCGCAAGGAGGTCTTGAATTAACTTGTTGTGGTGCACTTTATCAAAAGCCTTCGACATGTCTAGTAGGCACAGCCCTGTGGTCTTGCCACTGTCTCTCGCCTTCTGCAGATTATCAGTCAGCACAGGAGAGGGCGTCGAATTTGAAACACAAAACAGCAACTTACTTGGTCTGACTACAAACTGCAACGCACGAGAATGACAGACCACACACGCGCGCATGTAACTGAGCGGACAATAACTTCCCGCTTGTCACGTGATCGTCGCCTTGGAGTTGACCAATGACAGATCAAATAGCGCGGGCTGGAAAGCGCGGTCCTGCCTGCTCAAAGGTGATGGAACTGGATCCACTGCCCGTCGTCAAGTGACGACGGGCAGGAACGGATTCCACTGCCCGTCGTCAAGTGACGACGGGCAGGAACGGATTCTACTGCCCGTCGTCACTTGACGACGGGCAGGAACGGATTCCACTGCCCGTCGTCAATTGACGACGGGCAGTAGCCACTGGACTGACTCTCTACTTCATGTCCATGAATCATGGTCTTTCATTGGTTACTTGCCGCATGTTTGATAAAATACAAGGCACCGGATTGCGCGGAAAGAGCGACTAAGTGGAAAACCAACAAGATCAAAAAAAGAGTTCAGAAACTTCCGTTCATCTATTCAACAATTCATAGGGTACCCTGTAAAAAGGCCCTAGGCCTGTGGGACTGCCCTATTCAAAATTTAATAATAATAATAATAATAATAATCAAAAAAAGAGTTGACTAATAAATAACTAAAGCAGAAGAGCGACTGTTTATTATTATTATTATTATTAAATTTTTGATAGGGCAATCCCCACTAGGCCTTGGCGGATAATGCCGGCAGAAAAATTGGCAGAATTCGGTACTTTTTCTGGTACGTTTCATGCATGTTTGGTATGTGGATAAAAAAATGGAGCAGAATTCGAGGAATTGCCCGCCATAAGGTTTGTATGGTTCTGCCAATTTCACTGCTTTTCGAGCAGAATCTGCCACCTTTTCGAGCATTATCCGCCAAGGCCTAATCCCCACAGGCAGGGGCCGTAGCAGCCGATCCGGCCGGTCCGGCTTGGGCCAGACCACTTTTTCGCCCAGAAGTGCCCAGAATAGGCCTTGGCTGATAATGCTCGAAAAGGTGGCAGATTCTGCTTTTTTTGCACCGAAATTTTTAAAATTTTTCTGCCGGCATTATCCGCCAAGGCCTAGCCCAGAATGCAGGATTTTGAACCCTAATTTCAATTTTTTCCGGGGGGGGGAGATACCCCAGACCCCCTCCAACCGGACCACCTCCAACGGCGGTGCTACGCGCCTGCAGGGTACCGTAAAAAAATTGCAACCACAACTGTCATCATGGGCCCTAGGCACCGGCGGATAATGCTAGCATAATAACTAGCATAATAACCCATGTGGGGAAGACCGGCACTGCCCTAGCATAAAGCCTCCAAATGTGACCTTGTCTGGCACAATCGATGTGTGAAACTAGCACTACGTCCAGATGAAAGTGTGTGCTGGATGCCACCGTTGCCAGAAGCGTGTTTGGCACTGTTTGCTGCGTTTACGGAGTTGTTCAAACTGCACTGACTTGTACTTGGAGCTAAATATAGCATTGTGCACACTTTTTGCAAATTTGATTTCCAAATTTGCAATGCTTGTCTTGAAGTTCAATGTCAATGTGTTATGTTTCCACCGTGTTTGCCCTGTGATACTGCCATATTCCGAGTGACTGCATAGGGAAAGAGTCATTATTTCCCACTGGATTGACATTTTTGTAGCACTATCGGCACTGCTAGCATTATAACTAGCATAATCGCTCCAAATAACTAGCAGTGCTAGTAGCACAATTTCCTCATATAACTAGCATTATCCGCCGGTGCCTAAAATTCATGGCGCTCCAACATTTGATCTGGAACTGGGAGAAAAGAAGCCCCTTTGTTGAACGATATTGGCGATGTGAATGAGCTCCTCCGAAAAGTTGAGGAAGAAACTGAAACTTTTATTGCCGAGTCGCTCGCGAAGGAGATCTTGGACGAGCCGGATGAGCCTCAACCAAAGCGCGCAATGCTCAGCAACCTGCAGGACCCATGCAATTTGCCGAGGTTTCCGATCAAGACGTGGGAAAAATCCGTAGGAATAGAACAGCCAGAATGCCCGATGCCCAGTCGACAATGTCAATGGCACCACGAGAAAAAAGCACTATGGACTACTACGAAAAACTGTACCAGAAAACAATCACAAACCGCAATGCAGGTGTGTCCGTCATGTACATGTACATCTGCGTATCTCTTTATTTGGCTTGTAGTATTGGGTGCACAAGGGAAACACGTTCCAGTCACTCATATGCATACTCGGCCAGTACCGCTGTTCATCCAGCCCTTGCCGCTATCGCGGCGCGGGCTGGATTCCACGGTACTGTTGTTGTTTGTTGTTGTTGTTGTGTTTATTTTAATTCGCAAACCAAACGGGCAGATCTGCCCAATGAAAAGGTGGCGAATGCAGATAGAAAGCAGTAATAAATGAAATTGGGGACTGATGTAATTAGGATAGAGGTGGAGAAAAACTAAGCCAGCTGATCATCAAACAGGACGTTTGGTACTCTAGGTACTAAGGGTGTGCGGGATAATGCTGGCGCGGAACTCGCGGAGCGTGGAGATGGCACGTATGTCGCTGGGTAAGGTGTTCCACAGCTGGGCGCCCCGGAACGCGAGGCAACCCTTGCCGAACCTGGTGGAAACTGGCGGTTGGCGCAGACCCATGGTGGAGTGCAACCTAGTTGGGCCAGCTGACGAAGGAACTAGGAGGGCTTGCAGATCAGAACTTGCGTGCCCATTCCGAGACCTCCAGACCAGAACGATGAACTTCTGCCTGAATATCTCGGATACTCTGTAGGTACTGCCCTCGTACTCGTGCAGGAGCCTGGACTACAAAAGTCATGTACTTGTAACAACACGTTTTCATGATGACGATGACGTCCTCGCCTTGTTCACGAAACAAAAACAGAAGGGAGTTCCCCTCGCACACCAAGCTCGTCAGCTCAGCCTCTGCGCGGTACCACTGTACGCGGAGCCGGAGGCTAGCTGATGTCTGATGACCTGATCTGAAAGGCTGAGTGAAGTGAAGTGTTTCTTGTCTGTCATAGGAGATCCCCCAGATAGGCGTTAGCCTTTGGGTAATCCTGAAATATGTCTTTTCATTTGGGCATATAGCTAGCCTTCTTGGCAGATCGCGTGACATGGTCGTGATTGGTAATGCTGTGTCACTTTATTATTTTTATTTTCCCTCTTGCAGAGCGAGGGGCAACCTTGCGGCGCAGCAGCTTGTTCGTTGTAGATCTACATAGCCTATCATATTTTTGTAGGTCTAGGGTAGTCATTGTACATGATTGTACTAAGGTTGTCGTCAACCCGGCATTTCACCTTCGACTAGCAATGATTCTGGAGCTTTCCATTCACATGCTGACATGGTTCACCTGCGACCCTGGCCATGCAATGATGATGCAGCCCGGGTCGTTCCAGGATCACTGCATGCACGCCATTGTCTGTGCTCGAATGCGCTCGGCTGCATGCAGTGCATGCAAGCAGAAAAGCTAGCCCAAAATATTATTTTATTGTAAAAATCATTACGAAGTCGAAGGCAAGATCAGAGAAACCGGGGAGCGTGTTCCGTTGAAGGAACGAGTGCCATACAAAGAGTTTTCACATAGCTTGGTGAGTTACTTACTATATAAACTAGGGGTGCGAAAATGTAGCCCTCAAGTGCAAACACCGAGCAAAGAAGTGCAGCCAGTTTAGAGGTCAGGCTCGGGGCAGCGCGGGGTGTAGAGGGAGTCAACTCAGGTCACCTACTGAGCTAGCTGCTAGGCCGGATTTGCCGGTATTGGCACTGCAATTAATGTTCCCGAAATTAATTCGTTCCATAAAGAGAACTCGGAGTAGTTCCCTTATTTTCCGGACGCTGGCCACTGGTCGAATCAAGTTTTCCCCGGGATATTGGCAGCAGGCGCAGTGGGAGAGCAGTGGCCTTCAGCTGAAGCGGAGCTGCTTGCCACAATGGGTGGAAATGGCGACGAGGATACGGAGCGACTCATAGGGGACGACTCTGCCAGTACTGGCGAGAGTGCAACGCAGCACGCGGCCATCACGGGAACCAGTGGACAGGGACCAGTGCACGAACGTTGTGTAGATGGTAAGGGAGAATGAAAGAAAATTCAACTCCCATTCACCTGTTCACAATCAACAATTACATTCGTGCAGTTAGGCGATACTGTACTTTGCTAGAGAGTACAACTTACTACAAAGTCATGTACTGTGTGCACTAGATTGCCAAATGTATCAACTAATTTGTTGTATAATTTGTTCTATAATAATTATACATACAATACATTCTTGACTAGTTTGAGGGAAAGACACAAACGGCGTGAATTATTATTATTATTATTATTATTATTACGAAGTAGTGGTTGCGACTTCGGCGATGATTTGTAAGAAAGGTTTGCTCCCCACACCGGAGCTCGCGCTATTCCGCCGACTTTACTTGACACTTGACTGACTCACGACTGCCATCCAGAGCATGCACGAGAAGTCCATCGAACCTTCGACTCGGCAAACCTGCAAGAAAGCACCACTCCCTGCTCAATACACAGTGTTTCGGGGAATTCACCCCTCATCAGTTGAGCTTGAGTAGGCTGAGGAAGATTGTGCCTGAAGAGCACCACTTATATAGTGCTCTCCAGGCACAAACATCACCAGGGATACAAACTTACAGAGACGCTCCGCTTCCAGCGCGATAAACACCTCGTGAACACTGTAGTTCATGTACTCACTGTAAACATGGACCAGCAGTGCTCACGGTGGCTGCAAGGCCAGCGCCCCGTGGCCGCTTGACTTCCGAACGAATTTCAATGTCCGCAACATTGTTCATTCGCACAACAACTACACTTGCTCATGCGGCCGTCGTCAGTGCTATGCAGCAGCAAACACATGAGCGTGTGTGAGAGGAGCAGATCCAATGCACACAATCAAGAGTACATGAACCAGAGTGTGTAACTGTGCATATCAGATCTGAAACAGCGCAGTTCGTGCACTACGTCACCCTGATGAGGTCAGCCAAGCCGCGACTTGCGTGCAGCTCAAATTTTCGTGTTTCATAGCCCGGAAATCAGCCAAGTTTGCTTGATTTTAGACGTCCTGTTTCAGGATTTCGGTGTTTTGTGTGACTGTGTACGCTGTGTACATCCACCGACAATTAAAGTCACCAGGCTATCCGTATCAAAAAACCGAAATCAGGACAAACTCAGTGACCTGCACCACCGCGACTGGTTACGCAACTTTTCACCGTACCTGTGGCTTACCATGCCGTCAGAAATGACGTACTGCACGAATTACGCTCCCACAGGAACCATCCCGAGTTGCACACTCTGGTTTATGTACTCTTGACACAACACACAAGGTAGCGACGAGTACATGTGAAAGTATGTCATGGTATGCTATGGGATGATTTGCTGCCCCCCCCCCCCCTCCCCCTTGGCTAGAACTGCTAAATTGGCTGCAAGTTCAAGACTCCGAATTGTTACAAGTTTACCTGGGTTTTGAGCAAAACCCAACCCATATTGGGTTTCCATAGCCACAGGGCTACTAATTAGTTTAATTGAATGGAGATGATGATTTTTACTAAGGTACCATCGTTTGACACGCACATACAGGTCCATTCACGAGCCCTGCCTCGGACAAAGTGGCAGGCAATAGCACGTCCAGATTGTCATCGGGGATGTCGTCGCCGTCGGCAACGCAGGAAACATTGGACGATGACATCATGACGACGATGATCAACGCCGGCAGCTCAGGCCTGGGTATGAGGTGAGGCTGTAATTTAGTCATTGTATCCATCAGCAATCTTGTCACCGTCAGAGCAAGGTCGTCTTTGTGACAGTTCGCGGCAGCGTGCTCCAATCCGTGTGCGGGGGTGCATCTGCATGAGTCGCTGCTACACGGCGTTCGCAGGGACTTTTATCGCTTCTTATGTACTCCTTCATCCCTTCTCTTCCATTATTATCACTGAAATCTCCTTCCCGTAACATCAAAGAATTGCCGCTCTGCGTGTGGGCCAGAGAAAGGCTCTCGTAAATCGGAGAGAACTGTCGCACAAGAGCGACGGCACCCACATCTACTCTGACTGAGAGAAATGATCAAGAAATGTAATGTTGGCTGCTTAGCAACCAATGCCAATGCTGTTGCAAAAGAAGGATCCTTTGAGCGGGATTCGAGCCCAGCACCTCTGCAGTGCCCTGCCGATTAGGCTACAGGGATCACACACACACACCCGTGGCTCCTTCTTGCTACACTGCTCCCCCGCCCCAACAGGCTGTGCCCTCACGCCGTACCTACTCTTGGGGGGGAGGGGAATACGATGGGTCGTGGGTTCGAGCAAGCAAGTCATGACGATACTCTACATCTCAGTTCACACATCCGTTGAAAGTTTACTTTCATCCGTTGAAAGTTTACTTTCATGGCCAAAGTTAAGATGATCCTTGCCCTGAGAGATTCCTAGGCTCACTGTTTTTTCTTCACTCCACTTATCCAGGTTATCTGATCTTGTTTTTAATCTTTTCTTTCTTTCCATCGTCATCATAACATTGGGCATGATTGCCCGTTTGACTTGCGATGTAAAATACAAACAAAAAATACAATACGTGTCCCATGCTGTTTGGTTTACTCTGCAGATGTGTTCGATATTGTCCCACTCTTGTACGTGTTGCTTTGTCTCCACGAGGCCGTGAAGAAGCCAAGAAGATCCTACGATACTGCGTGCCCATGGTGAGTGTGTGTGTGTGTGTGTGTGTGTGTGTGTGTGTGTGCGTGCGTGTGTGTGTGTGTGTGTGTGTCCCATATGGTGCAGTGGTATGTGCAGCGATTTCCAATCGATAGGTTGCGGGTTCGATTCCCGACGATTATGGTCACACACGTCTTTCTTCTCTTTCTCAGACTCTTCCTGACTTTTCTTTCATTCTCCTGGGTGGTTACCAACAGCCAGTGTATGCCGGAGTATGTGGTGTTGTGTGTGTGTAGAAAAAAAAGAAGAAAAAAATGGAAAAATGAAAAATAGGGATTCACTGGCCAGAAAAAGTCACTTCAAACAGCTGTGTGGTGAATACCAGGCTAAAAATAGTGGCGGTCAATTCATCAGCCTTGCAAGCTGTTGAAGGGTGTAATCCCAGCACAAGTTGCTATGTCTAACATAGCTGTTCGCTATCATCGCTCCCGCGATGGGCATGTCTGAGGTCTGAGGTGTGTGTGTGCGCGTGTGCATGTACGTGTGTATACACATGTGTGCTTGCAGGTGTGCATATACGGTGGCCATCAGAACTCAGGCCAGGCAATAGCACTGGGAGTTGGCCAAATACAAGAAATCTCAAATCCTTCCATTACAGTACTGTCAGGCGCTGAAGAACTGGGGGTCAGGGTTCTAGCCTAGCCCGTTCTTATTTTTAGCGCACACAGCAGTTTTGTTCCCATTCGATGGTACAATCTTAAATGTACATCTAAGCAGATTTATACGTCTGAGTGTACGTTGTAGTGTATATCACGGTTTCCGTTCTGATCTGCAAAAAATCCAGCCTACACCTTTCTTAAAAATTGGTGAAATTCTAGCCTGGCCATTCTTAGACCGTACAGTCTATGCACAGTTGAGGCACCGTGTACACATTGGTATGCTGTGCTTGGTGAAATTCTAGCCTGGCCGTTCTTCGGCGCCGGACAGCACTATACACACCAGTGATGTTTCTCTTTATGGCAGAGAATGATGCAAACTAGACGATCGCTGTTTGGATGTAATAATCTCGATTTTGGTTGCCATCTCTGTACTTCCCCCTGAAGATTCTCTTCCTGCTGACGACGCACTTGGCACGGTTTCAGACAGTCCTGTTGGCCGGCCGCATGCTGGGAGCGATCGAGCTGGACGCTGTCGGTGAGTGGCTGGCATGTGGGTGCGGATGGGTGCGTATGCGTGCGTGTATGTGTGCCTGAGTGAATGTTGTGCGTGCACGCTCTTGCCTAATGTAAGTCAAGTCTACACATTTTCGGCCCATTCAAATTTCGGCCCATTCAAATTTCGGCCTCCCAGGGCTAAAACCCTTTTCGGCCTGTACTGCTGCCGCCTGTATACACTGTCGCACTGAACCTTGCAAAACAGAATTTCGGCCGCAACAAATTTTCGGCCAAACACGACCAGGGCGAAAAAACAGCCGAAAATAAAATATGCGCCGAATATTTGTGGACTTATAGTATGCACACATGCACAGTTTGTGTGGACTGTTAAGACGCTCTTCAGAGCCTGTAACTAGAAACTTACACACTAGAACTGGACGTGCTCCTCAGCTTTGTTCGACCTTGCTCCCGTTTGCGTGCATTCACTCCACCGCCGCCATCACCGTTGTGCTCTGTGGTAAACCTCACACACTTCCCACAGCATTTGCCTTCTTCTATTAAATTTTGCTCTTGTTTGGGCGTAGAGAAGTCAAAATTAATACAGAGCTACAAGACCCACCCTCTCCTGGCATATACGACACCGGCATGGTCGGCACCCCATCCTCATGTTGCCTTATGATTGCGAGAGCATGAAACTTGAAGTAGCAGCAAACAAGCCTTGATTGTCCTTGTTGTTTTGAATTCAAAATTAAACCGTTTCGTAATTGTTGATGTTTGCTTTGTTATGATGTGCTTGGTGGTATTGGTGGATTGTGGCAATGGTCTGCATCGGTGATTGTACAGCTCTTGCCCTCTCTGTAAGTTGTGTCGTGGACGCCTGGACGGATGTGATTGAGTAGCGTCTGTGTATCTCAATGCAGTCCGTATTGCAGGTGTGTTTGTGTGCACGCGCGCGCGCGCGTGTGTGTGTGTGCATGCATGTGTGTGTGTGTGTGTGTGTGTGTGCGCGCGTGCGTGCGCGTGTGTGTGTGTGTGTGTGTGTGTGTGTGTGTGTGTGCGTGCGTGTGCGTGCGTGTGTGTGTGTGTGTGTGTGTGCGCATGTGTATGTGTATGTGTGTGCATGTATGTGGTGTCGGTTTTAGTTCGCGATTCGCATGCGCAGACTAATTTGTACCTGGACGTGTTTGCGATTGGAATTCATTTCCTTTGCTTGTTCAAACAGTTCTATGTTTCGCGCTGGCTTCCTTTTGCAATTTCCTACCCATCGCGAAATCGCTTATGGTTCCTAACCGGAAATGTTTCACGGAACGGTTTACAGTGCATTTTTGACGGGATCAAACGCCGGTTTTTCATTGCCATGGTCACCCATTTGAAACGCTTGGTTTATGTGTTTCATCTTTTTCTCTCATGCTGTAGTACACCAACGTGGCTGGTCTCTCCATTGTCATCGGTCTGGTGACGGCGTGTGAGACGCTCTTCGCCCAGGTAGGTCGCCATGCCAACGTGTGTACATTTCACCTGCATCATAATACTGTGCACAATCAACTGGGAACTAGTGGCCAGGCAGCACAAGGGGGGCACATGGATGCGGCTAATGGGGTTTCTCGGCACTTGTCCCAGTGGTTGTGAGACTTGTCTCCTCACCCACCATTAGGCGCTGCATCTGCCGCTAGGGTTTACCGGGTGTTAGCGGCCATAGTGAGTTCTCTTCGGGAACGGACACGACAATTTACTTTTTTTTTTAAATGTACAGTACTGTGCTAGCCATAGATGCTCCGAAAACTCTCCCAAGCGGTTTCTGAGCTACACTACACCAATCAATGAAAAGAAGAATAAAATTATCCGAATTTTTGGGCAAGGCCAATCCTCATGAAGAATATTTTGATATTTGAAATCCTTTTTTCAGTGTTTGGTGTAGCCCAGAGACCGTTTGGAGAGTGTTGTGAAGATGTATGGATATAGTGGATGGCTACAATGGAGTCTTCGCATTTTGAGAAATGTGCAGTGCTGGCAAGTGAAATCCAGCCTCTAGAGTATACCAATCCCGGGACTGCACAACCCGGGCACTGTGAACACTGTACTGTGCAGTAAACCGTGCCGCTGCTCTGCTCATGGGGTTGGATTTCACTCAGCAGCACTGGTGTACCAGGCCCGGCGGAACCGGTCCGGTGGTCAGGCCATGGCCGGACCAACCTTTGGCTACCCGCACGTGTTTACTGCTGAGGAGGTCATGTGTATACCCTCTGTATCATACACAAAGTACGAAGGGCTAGGAGGTATGGCCGGACCGAACAAAATCTGCTTCCACCGGTCCTGCATTACACGTGTGTATCTAGTATGTGGCAGAAGAAGTGGATGGGTGTGTGTGTGTGTGTGTGTGTGTGTGTGAACGCGCGTGTGTGTACGTGTGTGCGCGTGTGTGTACGTGTATGTGATGAAAATCACTCGTTTCATAACCATTCTTTGCGAACACCGTCTGATTGTGGTCTTGTGGTGGCGATTATTTTTATGGGTTGTGTTGTGCCGTCAGGCGTTTGGCAGTGTGAACAAGAAACGTGTTGGAATTATCATGCAACAAGGTCAGTGACTTGCTGGGTATTGTCTCGCGTCGGAACGCCTTCTGTTTGACCAGGTGTCATGCCGTCATGTGTTAATGTACCATGGCACAGCAAACATGCATACGCGTGCACACACACGCACACTCTCCGTCCGTCCGTCCCTCCCTCCCTCTGTCCCTCCCTCGCTCACTCACTCTCTCTCTCTCTCTCTCTCTCTCTCTCTCAAGCACACACAAACTGATGGAATGCGACTGTCCTCTGTAGAAGGGAAAGTTCCGGAAATGCCGACGGATTAAATGACTAATGTTAGTGTCTTGAGGGATAAACCTTTCTAAGCACTCACGGACCCCATTGCAGCCATTTACACATTAGGTACCTCAACTCGAACACTCGAAATACGGTCTTTTTTGCTGTGTACGACTGGCTTGAGGGAGTTGAAAAGCAGGGGTGTCGCACACGGTACGGTCACTACGGTATTGACCGTACCACTTTCATCCCCAGTTATCGCGTGAATCAATTATAATACACTGATTTGGGCTCTAAATTTCCAAAATTTTTGTCTCAGCCACCCCTCCCCCACGATTAGACTGTCAGATGTCTGATCGTGCCACACTAAAATACCTTCCAACGCCCCTGAAAAGAGA